GAAGATCCATAAAAGATGATGACTACTCCTTGTGAAATTCATCTCTAGAAGAGAAGATTATCTTATACATATATATATATATATTAATAATTACCTATATGATTAGGTAGAAATAAATAAATATAGATTAATTTAAAATATCTATATATATATTAATAATTACCTATATGATTAGGTAGAAATAGATAAATATAGATTAATTTCATAAAATCTTCTATATAAGCTTCTTGAAAGCTTTATAGATAAGATTTTGACTTTATACATGTTTATAGTTGATTAGTAGATTAGAAATTTGATTAACAAGTTAACCTTGTGTTTTTTGTGTTGGTAGCTTGTGGAACAAGCTAATCATATGGTGCACATATAAAAAACTTATCTTACAAGTTAAGATATATGTCTTGCAAAGTCAACATGTATTAGAGGTCCTATAGAACATTGCCACATAGCTCTTAATTAGATAGTATATATAGAGGCAAGAGTGAAGTCTTTTTTACTCTTCTCCATGTCTTTTTAATCTTTAGTCTTATTTCAAGACTTTCTATTCTTCTAATCTTTGGCAATAGCCATTCTAATGTAATACTATATCATCTTTTAGTGATTTTCTAGTCTTTTTAAGTAACACAAGAGTGTATTAACCTTTTCATTCTTTAAGGTTTATGTCCTTGATACTTAATTATTTCAAACAACGTATAGACTTAAATATCATGCCTAAAAATTTAAACTCTAATATCTCTTCTTTTTCTTGGATTATTATTTAGTCCATCATTTGAACCATCATATATTCCATCACTTGAACTATCATCAGTAATATTTTCTTCTTGCTTGAAGAAGTTATTGTCTACATGAGAATTTAGTAATAAATTCAATAAATATAAATATTTTTCATTAATAATCCATCTCATAGCCCATATGTATTTATATATGAGAATATAATCATTGCATCACACTATTTGTAAAGTAAGCTAACAATATATTATTTTGTTGAAATATTTTGGCTTTGAAATGCAAATTCTTTGTAACATATATCAAGAACTTTCAAATTTAAGAATTGAACTTATTTGTAATGTTCAATCAACTACTTAGTTCTTTGGAACCTTGATATACGTTGCTTATTTCTACTTCTTAAAGAATATTTTTTTAATTCACTTAACATATAGGTATTGTTGTAATGTTGCATAAAAATAATTTTTTTTAAATAATGTCTTATACTTGACTTACCTATTAATATAATAATGAGTTCATTAAGTTTTTAATTCACCTTTCTATTCAAGATGGTATACTTCACATGTTTTTACATATGTTTTGTAAGATTAATTGTTTTGGCATATTTGTGGCAACATAATTTAGTCCAATTTGGCCACATCAACTTTCATTTGCATTTGTGCCAAAATCGACTATTTTCTACATAAGAACCATTTTATTTTTAATTTATGTAATCTTCCATACTCAATGTCAATTTTTTTTAATATTATATTTTAATATATAATATATAATCTTATATGTATATATATATATATATATATATATCAAAAAATTCATTAATATGGAATTCAAACAATAAATTTTTTGCCCATATTTTTTTGTATAGAATCAATACAAATAATATGTGACACTTTACTTAAATTCTACCAATTTTTTTTTAATACAAATAGTCTTTTCTAATGGCTTTCATTAAAGTCTTATACTCTATATTACTTTTATAAATAACTATTGCATTTGATCAAATTGTACCTATATTTTGAAATATGGTACTCATTATTGGATGTAATATTGTTTGTTCTTAACTACTATCTTTGCTAGTGCTACAAAATATCAAAAAAATTAACATCCTCAATTTTGTTGTATTAGGATACATTCTAACATACAATGGAATATTCTATTAGTTTGTCTTAAATGTTGAATTTACAATCTATACCAAATTTGGCATATTATCTTTTGTTCTTTGAAGCATGTCTTTTAATTCCATCTCTAATATAAATATTTACTTCTTTGCTATTAGATTCTTTGAATCATAAGCTTAATAAAAAATTAAAAATTAAAAATTATTTTTCATCCATTTAAGAACCATTTTTCTTACTACTTTATAATTGTCTTCATTGTATTTTTTTTATTTAAAGAAAATATGATAGATTTGAAGTTTCTTTTAAATCTGAAAGGATGTAAAATATTTGTTGTTCATGCAATTGGTTTTTTTGATTCAAAATGTCTTTGCATCTTCTAAAATATTTTAAGACAAATTTTATGTTATTAAGATTACTCAACATCTTAGGACAATTATTAATTGTACTTTTTTGAGTAAGTAAGAAATAAGAATCCTATTTTGATCTAAGATTATGGCCATTATGGCTTAAATTGGTATAAACTTCAATATCTTATTTTTTATCCTCTAGATATATGATTTTTATAAAAAAAATTATATTTCACATGCCTTTTAGAAGATTATTATCTAAATTTACTAGTATTATTGATTAAATCAAAATCCTTGCTATAAATCTTTTATTCTTGATGGCATATAAAGATTGTCATCTTTTAGTCATAAGGTGTCTTTCTTTGGTATTGATGGATTAGCTTCAATACCAATATGTAATATATCTTTAAATTATTAATAAACTCTTTCTCTTAGGCATAAAAATATATATGATGTTGGATGTATTACCAAAGTTGTTGATATTGTAAACAAATCACTCTTTCAAATACATGTTTTTCATATTCACACATGATACAAGTCTTAATAATTTTGTGTCACAAACATATATTTATTGTAATTGTTATCTAAGTGATATGAATAGGTAGAAATAAGTAAAATTAGATTAATTTCATAATATCTTCTAGAAAAACTTCCTAAAAGCTTCATAGATGCTGCTTTGACTTTACATATGTTTATACTTGATTGGTAGATTAGAAATTTGGTCAACAAGTTAACCATGTACCACACATGTTTATAGCTTGCAGAACAAGCTAACTATGTGGCGTCCATATAGAAAACTTGCCTTGCAAGTTAAGATATGTGTTGTGCAAAGTCAACACATTTTTAGAGGTCCTACAGAACGTCGCTATGTAGCTCCTAGGTAGATAGTATATATAGAGGCAAGAATGAAGTCTTCTTCATTCTTGTCAACTCCTTTCTTATTTCTAGTCTAGTTTCAAGGGTCTCTAGTTTTTTTGTCTTTTGGCAATAGCCATTCCAGTTTCTTTTTCAATATACATATTTAATTATTTCTATTTTTTCATCTTTCTTTAAAAAAGTCTCACTTGTTTATTTGTTTTTATCAAGTTCTTGTCTTTAATACTTTAGTGATGTAAGTTCTTTGAATTCTATACTTACTCCCTTATACTATCTATTTCAAATCATATATTCTTAAAAGAATTTTTACATTTATAAAATAAGATTCTTCTCCATAATATCCATCATAAATTATTGATGTCCATTCATCAATATAAAGAATAATAAAATCTAGATATTTATTATTAAATAACTAGTGTTCATCATTTAACAACTTAAGTATTACAAAACCATTTCTAAGAGTTTTTTTTTATTTTTTTAAAATGGTTTATAGAACACTTTAATTGAAGTTCCTTCTTGATAAATAAAATTAATATCTAATCTAATAATAGTCTCATATGTGTTGATTATTACATCTCTTTTTAGCTATTAAATTATGTATTCTCTCAATTCATATTTAAAGCAATAATATCTATCAAGAATAAATATTAGAAGATCTAATCCTAAGTCTTGAATCACATCTATTTCATATTCATCCTCTTCTCTTTTACTATCTAAAAATCATAAGAAGTTGAAGTCAATTTCATCATTTGAAGAGATATCATTGAAGTTAAGGGCTTCAATGACTTTGTTAATGGTTTCCATTGTTTCTCCATCTTTCAAGCTCTAAAATATAGCACACAATATAGTTAGTATTGCATAAAGTTGTTACTTTAAAATAATATTTAATTTATTAGTAGCAATCTCTACCACTAAATTCTCACATTGGTCATTGCCAATATTTTAAATTGCAACTAAATGGTGGTAGGCTCTACTACAAAGTTGCCCAAACCATAACCATTTTTTACTCATTTTCTATCCATTTTCTATCACCAATTTCTCTATAATCGTAAAAAATGGTCTTCAACCATATCCTTTTGTAATTTTTCTTATCTATTTTTCACCACCTATTTCTCCTTGGTAGTGAAAAATGGTCGCCATTCATGCCATTTTTTTTTTTTTTTTTTTTTTTCCCCCTCTTTTTCACATAAAATCATGCCTTGGTGGTGACAATCACCATCCCACTTTTCCTTGCTAAAATTGTAACCTTCCTTTTTACTTACTTTTCCCTTGTTTTTTATTTTTCTGTGATTGCCACCACCATTCTCTGTAATGGGCTCTGTGGGATTCGGCAGGCCCCCTATCCTAGTACACTGAGGAAGTTTCGAGACACACCTTTTTTTTAATAAAAGACCACTCACACATGCGGTCCGACTGCGCAGCGCTGTTGACGCAAGAGAAAGATGTCTGGGATTCATGGCCTCCTCTCATGCGAGGCTGCGTGCCCTCCTCATTCCTTTGCTTATGCTGCCAGTTTCCCCAAAGATCCTCCACCCCCCCTCTGTGTTTCCAAAAAAACTTGTAATGGCTAAGATTCAATCTGGAAATCCAACAGCCGAGATGTCTCGAGCCAGTCGATTGAATAAGGAGGTTTCTACAACACACAGCTAGAAGGGAATCCCCCCTTCTTTAATAGAGAGAGGTTTGTTCTTTCAATGCCGTTATGAATAGTTGAATGGTGAGTGATTCAAAAGCCACTTTGAGTTCAGTCTACACTAAGCTCAGAGTTGTATGCGGCAGGGGTAATGTAGAACTCTGTTTCCTTAAGAAAAATCCAATCTAACCAGACCTGGTATTCTTCATTGACAGTAGTATTGATATGTGTTACGGAGGAAAAAACTGCAAGACCACTTCAAATCTAATTTTCAAACACCAGGAACCAATGCTTCAAGTTCTGTGATGCAAACCTCGACAGTTAGTTATCTGCAAAGAAGACTTAAAAATTTAGACAGTTTCTCCATGTGGAGAAGCCAAATTGGAATCCTCCATGTACATGTTCTCGCCTTCAGAAAAAGAAAAAGAAATCTAGGGTTCTGCTTCTATACTGTACATTTTCTGAGTTTCGTGGAGCAAATGGCACCATGATGAGACTCTCCCACTCTTTTCAATGGGCGTTTACTCTAGTATACTAAAGCTTCATATGGAGTATAAGATGCGGTCTTGTCTTCCACCTAGTTTGTTTTAATCCTAAGGAGTAATGCATGAAGCGCAGAAAACATCCGAGTTTTGCTTCGTGACTCAGACTTGGAAGTTTGCCGTCATTCGAAGATGCTCCAGAACTCTCACCAGCCCATACCGGTTCACTGACGCGAGCGCCTGGCGAAACCCATCTCCGTAAACGGGAGACGTGTCAGAGGAAATCTGGTAGAGGTAGAACTTGCCCAGACGCTCTTGAGCAGGGCTAGTGATGCCTTTGGCACTGGTGGAGTCTTTCTTCTCCGCTCGCTTGAGCTCTGCTGATAGCCATATGTGTGACATGACTTGGCATATGCCCTCCTCCACCTCAGGGCGCATGCGAGGAAATCCTCCTACAAACAAATAAGCAATACGCCATTGGGTCATCAGAATATATTAATAATTCGAAACTATACAATTCCCAGCTGGTCCACACATGAATTCAACTGTCTTAGTTAGAGTCATACCTGCCAAACGTAGCCATGCGTGCATAAGCTCATGAACTAAGATAGATCCCGTAAGCAGCCTGCACAACCAATTCCAACCGTGTTTAGAAAAATTCACGCCACGTGCATGGTCCCGAGCTCTTTTGCAACTGCATATGTTAACGTGTCTGGAGAAGTAGATAAGAGTTTCTTCAGAATGCAGTGTGGGGAATCAACTTTCTCAGTTTCTGGATTTGAATGGAAATGTAATCATCCCCTCGAGAAGTGTTTAAAATACAGGACCATGACGATGAGTTACCTGGGGAGACCATAGAGAACAAGGATGGCGGTGACTTCACAGTGACGACGGAGATGTTTTGGCTCGGTCCAAAAATTGAAAGAAAGCCTGGGGAAAGACGATTTTCCTCCGAACACCTGTTTGCAAGTTATGACCATTACCAGATCATCAGCACCAACAATATATCCAGATTTGGAGACTCCAAAGCTACAAAACATGAGGTGAATGCCCTCAAGTTGCACAAATCCGTGTGTGAGCACGAGCTGTGGCAGTCAATTGGCAAACCTCTTTTACAGGTTAGATAACTGTCGAGCCAACCGTTGAAGCAACAAACACAAGAGAAATGAACGAGACTGACCGTGGTGACAGTTTGCTCCTCGGAAAGACAAAGTCCTCTTGTCTCCGACGTCATGTGTATTCCCTGCAATGGAAACCATACGAAACATCTAAGTATCCGATCGGCTCCAGCTACTGGGAATGAGGAGCTCAACACGTTTCGGAGAGTAGATAAATAAAAGCAGGCCTAATGTGAAAATCGTACCTCTTTCTCGCCTTCTCGTGCCTCGTTGAGAGCGGTGCGCTCAACCAGGAGCATAGGAACTTCTTGATCTATCATCATGCCGACGTTCTTATAGAATTTCAGTACCTCTCGGTAAAGAGGTTGGCATTCTTTGGTGTCAAACACAGCGGTTTCTAAACACTCCAAGCAAATCTTGCGTCCATCCTCTAAGCCTGCGTACTTCACTTCACCGGTCTGCAGGCGACAGATAAATCGCAAAACATCGACCATCAAATACAGTTTTAGGATTCGACTAGTGGCATTTACGGTGTTGTTGGGATATTGGTGAGTGGGATTCATGCCATGTAAAAAAGGAAAAAAACGGTAAACATTCATATTGAAGTCATGACTATAGGTGAGAGATACTCTACCTCAATGCGGTCACAACTACAGCAGCGTGGCGTGCCATCAATCTCATGACTGGGACAATACTTCTGATTCCAGAATGGATGCGACCGGTATTCTATCATCCCATCCTCATTTGTGGGAATCTGCAAACGTCCAAATAATTTTTGTGAGAAGATGATGTAAACTAAAGGGATTGACATATGACACTCAGCAATTTCAGTTTGACCATAAATGGATTCAAAGGTTTTAAATTCAATGAGAAGGATGAAAAATCTCACGAATTCGAGACAAACTTCGCACTTGGGGTGGAACAACTCCTTATAGCAGTTGCGATGGTAGGGATCACCCCCTTGGACTGAAAACTGAAGACCAAAAATAAACAAGGTGATTAGACATTCAAAGAACAGAACGATGGTGCTTGATGTTCCACTGCTGCAACTCCTAAATTAGTTCCTAGCTGATAACACCGGGTTAGGATCCTTCTAATGAATAAAAGATTGGCATTTTGAACCTAGAAAAGCTCAATCAATACCTCTCGATCGTCAATAGGTTTGCTGCACATTTTGCAAGCGAAGCAATGTGGATGCCAATTCTTCCCCAAGCAGCTCAAGAAGCGCCCATATCCAAGAGGTTGCTTACATCCAGCGCAAATATTCGTTGCGGTTGGTCTACAGATTCCAACACAAAGTATCATCACAGGGTTCCAAAAATTCTTTATTTCTTTAAAATAAACACACCTATCAGAGTACTGAATGTTCACAAGGAACAGTCAAGGTAAAGCTTCAACAACCCTCGGAAACTCTAGAGCACGGGAGAACTACAAGAATGCGAAACAAGAAGCGATTCAACGAGGCACAGATGCTTACTTGAGCACTGCAGGGCGGGTGCTGGGGCTTTTTTCCTTCCGTGAAGCACGATACTGGAGGTCCAAACTATCCTGTAAAGCTCTTGCTAGCTCCTCATCAGCATCCGTGCTAGGCATATGTTTGCTTCCTCCTGACGTTAACAGAAAACCCACAGATTCAAGTACATTGATCAATCGAGTCTTACAAGCAATGTCCAGACATCTAGCAGCTATGGCGTGACTAGAGAAGCCACAAACTAGAGCATCCTTATCACAAATCATCTACTGTAGTACCCCACATTTAACAACCTGAAGGATCAAAATCACATGGCACAGAAGTACCCTAATGAAATAAGCGTAGCACTACTCACGATTCTCTTCTTCAGAGAGAGCCAGCGCAATGGCGTGATCAGTGGCCTCCATGGAAGCGGCATCAATCTGTGGGTACGAGATTCTTTCGTTGTGATAAGTGGGCGTGTCATTAGTGTTTGCCGGTGGCGGTGCAACAATCTCGTATGGGAACCTATCATAGGAATGTGAGGGCCCGTCGTCAGAGTTGTATGGTATGTTGTAGGCATGTAACGGCATGTCGCTCGAGTATGAGGGCCTGATACTGTTGGTGTAAGAAGGCATCTCCTCCGAGTATGATGAAGACCCTTCAATACTCCTCGAATCCTGCCACCAGTATGCTCAATACTTAAATTTAGTGATCAGTGCTGTTTTCCCGAATTGAACCACTTGTTTCTGAGTTTTCAATTTCCTGATGCGGTTCACTTGGCAGCTGTGAGAAATGAATGGTTTGGAAGTCATTTTACCTGGAAGATATTAGGGCCTTGCCAACCACCGTGACTCTGGCGAGGGATGTTAGTGTAATCAGGATACTCGTCGCCTTCATGGTAGCGGTAAGTAGATGAGCTCGGAGCATCGAATAATCTGCCGAGCCACGCCATGTAAACTACAACGCTGCCAGTCTAACGGATTGGAAGAGTTATCTGCATTGAAGAACAGTAGAGGGGATCAGTCCAAATGCCGGGCAATCACCACAAAATTTACCAAATAGAAAAGGTTGGGCAAGCTCATGCAAAAATCTGTGAGCTAGAGCTCGCACCCTCCGCTTCGAGCAGAATTGAGATCGTAGATTGATTGACCTCTACAACTTTGCCAATGATTTTTTTTGCGATTCTGCGTTTTTAATTCAAGTGCGGAAAGAGAGCCGCCGGCAGTCTGAAGTAGTGAAGTTCGATACTGTCCGGGAAGAAAATAATCGAATACGCCGTCTAGGACTTGAATGCCGCAGATGGAGGCCTAACTAGCGAACAGAAACAAGTTTGGCAAAGCCGACCCGCCTTCCCTTGCGAAACAAATTGCATCTCCAAACCGACGAAACAGAAAATCAACTTAATGAAATAAAATCCTCACCTGGATAACAGCAATTCACGAAATGATCATGCGAAAATATCTACATCCAGTGCTCCACAATGGAATTCTTACATCCAAGACTAATGGAGGATTAATCCCTGTAATCGCTCTCGAAGGCTACCAACCAACTCTCTCCATACAAGCCAAAAAAGGGGAATTACTCTCGCACTGAAAAAGTCCACTAGCTCGCCGGCAAAACTAGACCACCAAATCGATTACCCCAAGCCTGCATTCTCACAAGAACTAACACGACGTACACTAGCAAACCACAAACCAAAGAGACGAAGGTATATGATGTTGTTGAACCAGCCGCAGCGACCACTGCTAACAGTGGCAATGATCGGGCCGGTATAACTAACAAAAAGAAGAAAAAAAACGAAAAAAAAGTGAAGAGTTGCACTACAGAAGAGCTTATTGAAGACCAAGTGGGGTCCAGCTAAGGCATAGTACAAGCGATGATATTAATCACCACGACGTTTCTGCTGCTTCATCCATTTGCACCAAGACGCACAGCTTCAATGAGACTTTCGTATTGACCAGATCATTGGCTGTGTGTGACGAATCTAACCTCGTCGACAGACACAATGTCGTGCAAGATTCCACCGTAATACCAGGTCGTATGGGATCGTTCAATCCAAGAAACCATTGTTTAGCAGGTTGCAGGTCCCTGTATTTCGCCACAAACTAGACAACGCTAGAGCCAAAAAATGCGCATACTCTCGACAGATGGGAAATTCATTCACAGTCCATCCTCACGCAAAAGTAAGCGAGGACTAGTTGCAACGAGAGGATAAGCAGTAAGCCATCATGATAGTGGGCAACTTTTCTCGACAAACGGTGTGCTGAAACTGTGGGATCAGGAGTGGTTTGTCGACCCCGGCGCAGAAGTCGAGAACTATACACCGACGTGAAAGTATACGGTAAAATCACTTTTACTCCATTGGGACCCTCCATCGCCTTTGCCAGGTCCACGAGCCCAAGGGTCCCACCACGGCAGCAGATTGATCGCGATAGGATTGCAGCCAATCAATTCTGTGAACATGGTTCAATCGTCGGCGAGCACGGCGACCAAGCTCTCAATGAAAATGCGCTTGCAGTGCCATGCAAATGACGCTTCTAGGAGGGGAGTTGCAAATCTCTTCGCGTGTACTTTTGTATCCTACACTCGCGTCGTACGTTTCCTACAATTTGGAAGATTCTAGACCAGCTCTGGGCGATCGAGGGAGGTGCCGCACGCTGGTAAAACTCTAGGGGTCCTGCAAGCCCAGTACGCCAGTGCTTCGCCCTTGACCGGGCAGTGGCACTCATGCCGAATACATGAAACAACTCTCCCGACCAGAGCAGCCCACCATTCCACCTTTACATCCACGCATGTCTACACTCTAGAGCCTGTCGTTCAACAAAGTGATGTAAGCTGATTGTGGTGATTGTGGATGATCGATCGCCGAATGCGTCCATGATGGGGGCTGTCAGAGAGTTGCGAGGGGCAAGAGCCGTGAGGGCTCTCTCGTCGTCTCCTCCTGCAGCCCCATGTGCACCTGCCGATGTGCTCATCATCAGATGTGATGATATGAGAGAAAAAGAGAGAGAGTTTGTGTGTGTGTAAGTGAGAATTGTCACTGCAGCACCGGACGACGACAATGGTGATCGCATCGGGCTGGGGTGCGGTGGCGAGGCGAGGGCCCCCACCACGCAAGCTGTGGTCTGTGGTGCTGGCTCTGTCACTTCGGCGGCGCTCTGCACGGCGTTGAAAACTCGACAGCCTCGGCGACGCTCACACCGCCGCTTGTTGATGAGTGGTGCCATGATCAAGGCAACCTTGTTCCTCTCTTAAGTCTATATTCTCAACTTAAATTCATGTATGTATATGTGTAAATATATTCTAGTGGAAACCCATGCAGTGGCCACAAAAAAAAAAAAAAAAAAAAAAAAAAAAAAACATTGTAATCTATGTGTTGTTTCATATGCCATAAAATTCCATGTTGCATGTGGTTCCACATTGTGGTGCTTTTGAGCTCCACACCTAGTGATCTTGCAATGTTACTTCTGGAAATCTGCAGCAATAGCACAATATATGATTGATCAAAAGTTAAGTTATTGTTTCACATTTGATGAAAACAATGAGATATGCATTCAATTAGAAATGGTTTATGTCTCCTCTATTTTATCCAATTGATTTATCCTCTAAGTTGTTTTATGTAAGAGATATATATATATATATATATATATATATATTTGTTTTGTTTGATGGTATGGATTAATTGGGAAATTGAATGTAAAACTTCTTATATTTTTGTTGTCTTGAGTTGGGTAAAATTGGGTACAATTATAATAACAAGGTCAATTTAAAAATAAAAATTGCTCTTGTGGTAATTGGTCTGCAAGAGCATGTACTGTGAGATTGCATTGTGGAATCCTAGTGTTCATTTAATTTTCATTCCAATTTGTATCTCTGTTTTGCTTTGGGCCATTCATGTTTTATTCCATTGTTGCAAAGATGTTACACAACTAATTGATTATTTTCTTGTTGATGATTTTTGTATAAAATTTTGCCTTAATCTATTCAGTTGTCTCAAGTTAGATTCCTTGTGTGAATATTGCTCAACTCCTCCCCTACAAAAACAAAAAACAAAAATGTTCTGGTAAGTCCATATTATATATATGTCCACACAAATCTATGAATAGTTTGGATATGGTGCAATAAATATTTGGTTAGTTACAAATTTTAGTTTGAGTATGAATATAAGAACCAATTTAAGCTTGGTTATATATAAATACTCACTTCATATATAGTACCGATTTGTAAGGATATTCTCTATTGCAAAATTGGTGGCACCTCATTTTGCAATACTTTTTGTGATCAACAATTCATGTTTCTGCTGAAAGAGTGGGTTTTGACATATCTAGTTTACATTTTGCAGCTTTTGTCTTGATGGGTCTGCATTGTGCCAGTTCAATCTAAAGTGCACCAATGGTAATGGGATGCCATTTTACATGGATTCACTGGCTAAGAACTTTGTGGAAATGGTCAATCTTTTGGGCAGACAATCACATTCCCATAGACTATATTGTGGTGAATAAAGGCCTTGGTATACAGCAGAATATATTATTTTGTTCTTATCATTGTTATTGTCTGATTTTCTTCTGACTTGAATCCACTAAGCATATTTTGAAAGTAAGCTAGATGTATTTGATTCCAATTGAAATGACTTGGCTATGTATTGTAGGGGATATTCTGAGGGAATATTGTTAAAAATCTGTTATCAATAACTGAAGATGCAGCTTCAACAACCAATTGCATAGTAACATGAGTTCACATGTAGTTGTATCTTCATGTACAGCTTTGGAGGCATGGTTACAAAATGTGGGTTACTTTCACATTGTTTGCCACTTAGTAATAATCAAAGGTGAAAATTTTATATTTTGGTTTAATGTATGTGTGTGTGAATACATAAATATATATATATATATACTGTCACAAACAAACATAAAAATCAGTGGATATTTTGAATTTCAGGTAATGACAAAAAATACAGTAAATGTAGAAAACTACATTGATAAATAAAAATCCATGGTAAAAATTTATTTTATCATGTTATTTGAAAACATATAATGCAGATAATGACAGAGAAAACTTAGAAAATATGATTACCATATTATCTACATACAAAGAAAGAGAGAGAAAAAAAAAAAAAAAAAGAAAAAAAAAAAAAGAGGGTACTTAGATGTGAGATTTTTCCTACTTTGATTAATCACAACAAGTTGTATATTAAAATTCTTATCTAAATCATGTTACTTAGTTTACATCACAAATCACATTTCTTTGAAAAGGTTTTATATTTAAACTTATTTAATTTTATTTACACTGTTTTCACAGATTTATTTTTTTATATAAGATTCGATTTTTCAACTAATTTTTAACATATTTAAAATAATTCTGATATTTTCGAAATTTTTCAATTTTGATATTGTGTTAAACACTCGAACTTAAATATTATTTGTTAGCACCAAATATGCAATTTATGAAAAGGAAAGAAACATACTTGCATATTGTTTTAATGACAATAATTATGAAAAGAACACGTATTCATAATTAATTATATGGCTAACTTAAAAGTGAAAATTAATGAAACTAATAAATTTAGATTTAAATGGTACATAGGTTCACATGTATTCTTTATTTTCTTTCTTTCTCTAGTCATATATATATATATATATATATCAATTTCTTTGATAGTAAAAAACAATGATAATAATAGTAAATATATTATAAAACCATGTTGCGCAAAAAAATCTGTTGAGTAGATTAATTTTCTGAAAAAATTGTATAGTCATCCGGGAAATTCTTCTGTTAAATGTTTTTTTATTATAATTTTTTATTTTTACAACTTTGAAATCTGATCGTATCCTAGAATCACAATAAAACCATTAAATTTTTAGTAAAAATTTATAATATTTATAAAAAAAAATGTCGAAAATAGATTATTTTCAAAAATATAGACAGAAGGAAGAAGAAGATTATTTCATCTCATTCTATGCTTTTTAATTCTTTTATAAATATTATTTTTTATAATTCTATTAATATTTTAAAAAATAATATCCAAATATATATATATATATATATTACCAATTTTAGGACGTTAGAATTTTTGGTTATATACACTATAAAAATGTCACATATTATATTTTAGAATTCTATTATTTTGTTCTTATGAAATTGATATGAAAAACAATATTTTACCAAAATAATATATTTATTTTGATATGTCTATAATTTTTTTTAAAAGAATATATTGAGAATTTGTTGGATAAATGATTTTGGTTAGCCATGGACTTCATCTAATATCTTGCTAAATACTCTTTTTAGATTGTTATCACAAATTTTAAGTATGGATCATTTTTTAGACAATACAATTAGAATAATGTATAAAATAAATAAATTTATTAATATTCTCTTAAATTCAATGTTGGTAGAATGCAATAATAGTTAATTATACACTATTGTCTTTCTTGTCTTTATTCATTAATATATGGATGTAATTAATCAAACCAATTTGATAATATTAAGAAAATGGTTCAATTTTTTTTGTAGGGGTAACACTTAACCTCTTACTTAACCCAAAGTTGCTTAATCCATATTATATAAGTCTAAAAAAAATGAGATTTAGAGGTTATTAATCCAAAAGATGCAAGAAATACTCTACTATCAAAATTGATTGTATGGGTATTTTGTCCAACACACTCCAACATCTGAAATGTTTTTGTCATTGAATGATGCAACCTAAATCCATTGCTTTAAGTAACTAGTGTCTAGACTTTACATAAACACTAGTATCCAACTATAAATAAAGTATAATATTAAAAAAATGATATAAAATAGATAAAACTTGAGTTGCAATGTTATCATTAATTTTTCTTATCCTTCTAAATTTCTTCTATGTTTTATAAAATAGATTATTATTTATAATATCCAACTCATAATTTATAAAATTTTCCACTAATTCAAATAGAAATATTTATTTTATTCATTTAAAGGGGATCCAAAGAATTAAAGATTTATTTTTAATAATTTTCATAAACTATTATTTTTAGATAAAACCAGACAAGAATATGAAAAAGAAATAAATCAAGATATATATTTTAATATATATATATATATATATATTTATAGTTTATAGAAAGATCTTCCAAGTGCAAGAGTCTCACCTTTTATATGTAAAGATTGGATTGGATTCTATAAATTACAAAATATTTAAATAAAATTTCTTCTTCAATTTAATTAAAAATCTTATTTTTAATTATATTTTATATTATTGGTCTATAAATAAAACATTATTTATGTACACAAAAAACATAGGTAAATCAATGATATGGAAGAATCAATCTAGATTGGATCTTGGTATAACTAAGATGAATTTAATTTTCAAACATGACTTTTCTTTCAATTGGCATAATGTATAGTTGAGGCTCTACTTGCACAAAGAGTCTATGTTTATATGGCTCATTTGGTACAAATGAGAAGTAATAAATAAATAGAGAAAATAAATTAGTTCAAAATTGATATTCATTATAATCTTTGCAAACCTAATCAACAAGTAACTATTTCATATAGTATTTAGAGGTGTTTTCATATATGGCATTGGGTCTTTTTTCTATATTACAAACTAGCCTCTTATTTTATAAAATAGAAATTATAGAAATGTTTTACTTAACAAACAAACAAATGATCTTTGTAAAGTAACTACCCTCCACATTAATAAATAAATAAATAAATAAAAATACACTAAATATTCCCCATTAAGAAGATTATATTCATAGATTTTAAAGATTTAACCAAAAAAATTGTATTCAAATATAAAAATTAAAACAAACTCGATAAAAGAAATAGAATTTAATCTAGCTTATTAAAATAAAACAAGTTACTTTGAGAAACCATGTGTAAAAAAATTAGAAAACAACTCAATAATAAGAAAATATTTTTGAAAAGATGGCACTAAACATAGATAGCAATAAAAATGATTGGATTTAGATCCACTATAAAAATTAGATAGAACTCAATGGTGTCCTAAAGTGGCATCATAATTTATAAAAAAATGATTAGTATAATTTTTTAAGTCTAGTTTGTCACTCCTATATCTATCTTAAGGAAGGGTTGCTTTGCTTTGTGCTCTACTTTTTACACCCTAAGCATTGGACTTACTCCATTTTGTATTTTAAAAAATCAAAAAAAATAAAATTAAAATTAAAAATTGCCTCAACTTTTGTCTCTAATGCCAACTTGTTGAGAGCACGAAATCTGTGAACGAACGAACTTCGTGGACGAACGTTTGTAGATGAACGAAGACGTTGGACTCGGATGGAGATTTACAATCGGTTTTATCAATTCACTATTGGGACGTTGGAGATTTCATTCATCCTTATGTTGGATGAGTTGGAGATGGACAGAGAGGAGGCCAAAGGGACACACGGTTTAGGGCTTCGGCACTGAGGGAGTCCAAATGGAGGCAGCACTTTTTCAGATCCAAACACTCAAATTGGGATCTTTTCGTCACCCCTCATGGAGAATTAAACCTGCTGAATTCGATGCAGAATTGTTGAAGAATACGTGGCCAGAAATTTACGAGATACGTTGAAATCAAGAGTATCGCTGGGATAACGAGTGAAGAATTCGCGCTGGGACATTTCAGGCCTTTCGTATTTTCACTCTTGATCGATCTCGTCATCCTCGCATTCTGAATGTTGGAGTGCTGCTCGCGCATCTCCAGACTTAGGACTTCTGAAGGAATTAACTGGGTTGCAGCGTTATGAACTGCAGCTGAAACTTGAACCAGCACTGTAACTGCACTTGAGATGTGTAGTTTAGTATTTTAGAGTCTGGTTTGCGGCTCGAAACCAAGTTAGCCCATGCTTCACGCAGCTTTTCTTTTCTGTTAGCTTTTTAACATACTGATGTGAGATCGATATAGCTTGTGGGTTATATGTTTTTGAGCAAGATGTTGCCGGTTCGATATTCTTGTGGTGCGAATTGACGAGGAAGCCAATGCTGCAAATTTGTTGAAAAAAAAAGAATATAGAGAACAAGTGGAAGGGGAGGAGGTTAGATTGTAGTCATGAATCTTAAAGTGAGGCCGCTCATGCGGCGGTGTTTTAGTACGAGTGTTAACACAGGTGAGCAGAACTTGATTACATGGGTTAGACGAGAGGGTGGTCGTGTGGGAGCGCTGGATCAGCAAGGAAGTCAGGAGGGAGGGTGGGGTTTACGGACAACCGAAGCTGTGAAAGCAGGGGATACGCTCATATCTTTACCTCCGCATCTTATCCTGTCGCTGGAAACCTCGAATCCGCTGCTTCTCGCATTGTTCGATCGCGTTCCAGGTTTGTGCGCATGAGACGCTACGCCAAATTCTGTGTTGATCTTTGAGGCTACTGTTCTAGCAATGCCACAATAGGTGCAACGCGTGTTCCTCGTCGTCTTCTTTGATTATTTGTTTGCTTATTTACTTATTTGAGTTATACCCATGTTATTGAATATAAGTTATGATCCCACGCAAACGCTGCTGTGGCCATGTGATTCATAAACGATGGTTCTTCCACAGTGAGGATGGTTGCTTTAGGTCGAGACTGAGTTTAAGGTTTGGGCAGAGGAGCTGTGGACAGTCAAGTTGGGACTGAAGTTACTCTCAGAACAAACAAGGTTCCAGATGTCGCAGTGGTGGCCTTATATTCAGAACCTTCCCAAGCGCTTTACTGTGCCCATTTTTTACACTTCGGAAGAAATTCAAGCGCTTCAGTACCTTCCTCTGACACATCAGGCAGGAAGTCAACATATCCCTCATCTTTCGTTTCGAGTGCTGACTGCACATAATGCTTATACTTTTATTTATTTATTTACATTTATTTTTTGATTGCTTGATGAACGCTTGACGTACATTGGCTTTGTGATCTGCTCTCTGGTGTACAGGTGCACAAGCGAATTCAGTTTCTAAACGAATTTGTAGCGGAGGTTAAGCCAGCTATAGTTGGTCAGGCACCACAGCCTGGGCAACCCTTCAACAATTATCAAATACTTCCTCATGCACTTGCTTGGGCAGCGACAGCTGCTTCAAGCCGTGCATTTCAGGTGCACAGAGAAGGGGGAGGATCATCATTGTTGCCCTTAGTGGACATGTGCAACCATAGCTTTACACCTACTGGACGTCTTTTACAGCACAGTTCTGAATCTCAGTCATTGCCTGTACTTGAGGTTAGTGGAACCATAGAGACTTATTTTCAATAATAGAACAATTGATGGGTTTTCAATTGAGGGAATGTGACTAAGCACGTACAAAAGCATTACGATATATGACTCACTATGATCACTCTAGTGAAGTCCGTAGTCAGGTCAATTTCCATCTTCGTTTCTACGATAAATTTGCAAGTAGTTTGAAACCCTTATTTTATTATTATTATTATTATTATTATTATCTCTCTCTCTCTCTCTCTCTCTCTCTCTCTCTCTCTCTCTCTCTCGCTCTCTTTGTTGAAGATTAATGGACTGGGTTGCATGGCACAGGTAGTAGCAGAAAAAGATCTGGAAAAAGGGGAGAATGTGGTTTTGAACTATGGACCTCTAAGCAATGACATTTTGCTTCTCGACTATGGCTTTGTGATGCCTAAAAACCCTAACGATCGGGTGGAGCTTCGCTACGACGACCAGCTTCTTCATATGGCTTGTCTCGTGGCTAAAGTTAATATAGACTCGTTTAAGGATCCTACCACTTCGCAGCTGGCTCTTCTCACAAGATTGAACCTTCATGGTCCTAGCTCTTCACAAATGGTAGTCCATTTATCCTTTAAATTGCGTTGCTATTGTATGATTATCTGAGGGGTATCTGCAAACATAATTGTTTGAGCGTTTAAGCTGAATGATGCGACTCAACTTCAATGCCAGCACAAAATATAGAGCAATAGATCCTTCTTGTATGTTGAAAGGACATTAATAGTATGTTACTATTTTGGCGACTTCTTGACAGCATTATATTCTAAGGGTTGTGACGTGAGTAAGTCTCTCCGCTTAAAGATGTACAATTTCGTCTTGCTTTGTTTTCTTTCTTTCTTTATTTATTTTTTATGTTGTGTGCAGAACCTTCTGTTGTAAAGGTTTGCTGAGAAGGTGTTAATGTTGCAGGTTACATTAGGCGGAACCGAGCTTGTGGAAGGCCGGCTGCTGGCGGCAGTAAGGGTAATGCATGCCCAGGACCCCATGGAACTTCTTGACGTTGATTTGGAGGCGCTACAAACCTGGAATCAGTCACCTCCGCTGGGTGTTCTAAACGAGCGCAAGACCATTCGCACTCTAATAGGTCTTGGTATGCTCGCCCTTGCATCTTTTCCAACTGAGATTGAAGAGGATCAAAGCGAGCTAGTAAAGGGTGACATTTCAGAGAATCATCGTCTCGCAATTCAGTTTCGGATGCTTAAGAAGCGCTTACTGCTTGATACAATCAAAGGCTTGAAGGCCAGGGATCCAACATGAGTAGTCTCGGAAATTAACACAATAAAGTCTGCTGCTCTTAACGATGAATGGGTTAAGTAAATTCTGCTTTTACTATGCATGCGTCGAACTAGGAATGGTACAACGCAGCTAAGCTTCAGTTTATGCGACATGCATGAATTAGCATAATCTTTTCTACGCATTTGAAGATCCTCATTGGCAGTAAAATTTGCCTCTTATTAAACTAGAATCCGCAGTCTGGGTGACCAATGACCAGGGAAAGTTCAGCAAAGCAGGGCTCATAAACTTCGTCAACGGCTTGAACTTTCCGTTGTCTACACTTTTGAAGTCATGGACCATAGAATTCGCCATTATCCAGTGTTGTTCATCAAATATTATAATAGAACAATACTACATCTTATAAGAAGTGTTTATATTGGCAATATTAAATATGTTGTAAAAACAAGCCTTGGCAAACATGGATAAGAGCCAACAGGTGGTAAATATTTTGTAAAATTTTCCATATGTAATTATTTGATGGCTACAAATATAAAAATCAATATGGTTTAATTATTTTGTTTCATTTCACAATATGTCAAGGATGTTCACAAGTACTGCAATATAATCACAGTATTAGAAACTTACACAATTTAGAACCTCAATTTTTTTACTCAAAAAATCATTGCTGTCTTTCAATTTCTGGTGTACTTTTCCAGACATTCTAGCTTTTAGAGTACTTGTGTAATAAACCATATCCAATTATACTATAACAACACACACATTTTGAAGAGAAGGAATTATGTTTCTTTCTTTTTACATCTTGATAAAAATGTGTTTTAAAAAAGCACATCCATGAGTTTTGAATTTTTTCATTATTGTCAAAAATGATATAACATTTTATACTATCTACAATAGTATTTAATGAAGACTCAAGAAAGTATGGTCAATTGCAATTGTTATAAATACCTCTACATGAATGATACAAAATCAAGTAACTAACTCATACTACAAAATCACTTCAACAATATTTGATACAAATAAGCTTTGATGGCTTCAATCACTTGAATCATCAAAGAAACACAAAATCATGACAATGTCCATATTTTAAATTGTTTTTAGATAGGATAAATGAAAGAAGTTTGAACTCTCTCTAAGATCTAAAACCCTTCCAATCTATAGGAACGTAAATCACAATACAATGTAGGACGAAGCAGACCAGAAGAAAACTAAAGAGAACTACACAAAATGGAACATGAAAGGTAGAATAGAGCAAATGAAAATAGAATAGAACAAAATAACATGAAAGGTAGAGTAGAGCAAAAAGAAATAGAATAGAGCAAAATAACAAACTGCAAACCAAACTTTAGTGAGAGAAAGGAACCAAAGCCATACTTGATTAAATATCCAAATGGCCTCAGCGAATATTATTTATACTTTATCCATCCATCTTGGAACTTTATAAAATATTCCTAATGGTAGGCTCTACCAAGATAATCTCTTCTTCTACAAGATTTTAGAGATGGGACCTACTTACATAATTATCTTTGTAGAAGATTTTAAGATGAGTCCATATAAATAATTGTTCAAAGCTTTTTTGAAATATTCCATGGTAGATTCTACATAGACCACCAATCTAACTCCAATTCTAAAAACTTTCCAAATACGGCTCCAATTACCTATTTCTATGTATCAACAATACAAATGTCTTATCCATACCTCGTTACAGTTAATCTCCCTCCAATAATGAAGAACGTCATTATTTTTCTTTCAATGGTATTTCTAAATTGTTTCTTGACAATAAATGAGGTTTTGTACAAGTTCCTACATTACATCATAGATGGAATAAACTTTCAAGATGATTTTGTTCTAAAGTTGCAGACATCCAGTGCTACAGCAAAGATAACAATGCTTCAAAATGCTATCCATTTTATAATCTTATTTATCATCAATCTCAACTAGTGGTGGTAGTGGTGGTTTGAGAAGTACCTTAGTTCAATATGAAATTCCTTAAGCTATGAAACATGGAAGACCAAATAGACTTGAATATGTCGTCAAAGCTCAAGATAATATGCAATATCAAAAATCACTATAGAAATGTGAACAGATCTAAGCTTACAAATTTAGATTGATATTAGAAAGTAATACTTGGTCACCCTCTCAAAAGGTCTTATATTATTGGTGGTTATCTATATATTATTTTTGTCAAATTTGTGCAATAAAGAGGTGGTACCATATGTCCTATAAGGCCGTCATAAGCTTTTGTATGAATTTATCTATTGTTAGATTATTAGTGGTGATAGAATAATAAAAAATTATTAGCATAGTTGGATGCTCATTGATATTAAGAAAGAATAATAAATGATTAATACTTGCTTGAATACTATCATTGCAAGCAAACTCCAAAGACATCAAATATTCATTCTAGACATTATAGTGAACTGCCATGAATGCTAGTAGCATATCTTCTAAGCTCCCATTTGCATACTCCATTTATCGATCTATTTGAAGATAGAAGGTCATAGACATGATAAGTTGTGTATCTAATAGCTTAAATAAAGCCTACCAAAAATTCTCTATAAAACTTGGATTTTGATTTGAAACAATGATACAAAGTTATCTATGGTGGTAAAAGATAATGTAAAAGAAGATCCATGGAAGTATTGAGGCATCAATATCAGAGTGCACTATAGCCAAGTAAAATTGCTTTAAGAGTTGATTCACAAAGACAACAACCAGAGTATGATTGTGAGACATTTGTGGCAAATACATAATGGGATCCATAGACATCTACTCCTAACATGCTGTAGGTAGTAGAATTAGTTGCAATAACCTAAGAGGTGCTACGTTACATATTTTGTTACGTTAACATCATTTATAGGAGTGCACAAAAGCTCAAACATCATAATCCAAACCTATCTAAAATTATGTCCTTTAAATCCATTTAAGAGTCTTTTCATACCTTAGATGTCTAGATATTGGAATATTATGTCCCTCTTGAAGTATGTACATCTAGAGTATAGTATTGTTAGATACATAATTTTATTTTCTGAAATAGAGTAGCTATCACTGAGATGATAATCTTAATATTATATATTTTCCATCTTTAGTTATTTGATAACCATCTTGAAATAAGCATCCCAATTCATAGCTTTATTTCATTTTGATCTTTTGATTAAGTTTGAAATGGTACTACTAATAGTAGCGACTTTTGCCTTTTCCTTCAATTTAGGCTTCAAGTTTAGTTTCTACAATAAGGTATTTGATACGATGTGTTATTGCCCTTGCTTGTACTCAAGTTAAATGACAAAGAACTACAATTTTTCTTTTCAAAAATGATGTTGTGATTTTATATATTTTTAGATGCAAATTATAAAATAGGGACTAATGGTTAATCTAAATAGTTACTAGTTTCTTCAACAAATAGTGTTGCCACATCTTTGTGGTATATACAGTTGTTAGTTGCTCTTGATTATGTACAAAGTAATTGTGCTCTATCTTTTTGGACTTACATGATTCATATGCCAAAGATTGAAGGCACCTACCAAAGTCTTGTTGAAGGACCATGCTAATAGCAAAATTGAAAGCATCAATATCAAATATATATAGAAAGTTAGGATCATGTGGTTGTAATATTGGAACAATAATGAGGGCATTTTTTGCTCCAATTTCCATTCAAATAGGGCACCCTTTTCCAATAGGCTTATGATGCAACAATGTATACAAATTGTTAAAAAAAATGACAATAATATCAAGCAAGGCCTAAAAATGAATGAACTTTAAAAGCATCTTTGAAGGTTGGCCAATCCTCCACTACTTTTATCTTATCCTACTCCATGTGCATGCCTTTGAAGGATACTATATGCCTCAAAAAGGTGACTTTTCACTCCCAAAGTTGACACTTTGATTACTTGCAATAGAAGCAATTATCTCATAGGTAGCACAATACTTCTAGTAGATGTTGCTCATGTTCTTTAAGAGTTTTAATATAGACCAAGATATCATCGATGAAGACAACTATATACTTGTTTAAAAAGTTCCAAATTAATCTATTCATGTAATCCATAAAAGAAGCTAGAGTATTGGTGAGGCCAAAAGATAAAACAAGCCATTCAAAATATCCATAGCTCGTATAAAATGCCATCTTTTTTATAATAGGTATTTGTCACTAGCTACTCTAAAGGTCCAATTTGCTAAAGATGATTGTACCTTGAAGTTTGTCAAGAATATCATCTATATGTAGAAGTGGATATGCATTCTTCACAGTTTACTATTAAAGCATTGTTAATCAATGCAAAACTAAAGTCTACCATCTTTTTTGGATACAAAGAATACATGTGCTTTCCATAGCAACGTATTTTCTCAAATGAGGCCCTTCTCTAAGAATTAGTCTAATGTCTTTTGCAACTCTTCAAGTTCATTTGATGCTAGGCAATAAATTGGTCGACTTGTCGATTTGGTCCCAGATAATAGTTTTATTTAAAAGACTGCATCTCAATCAGATGACATGCCACTAGGCAAGTCGATTTGAAAGACATTCTAATATTTATGTATGAGTTGCTCTGTCCATATTGCTCCTTCAATTGTCTTTTCTATCACTAAGGCAAGATTCATAACCACCACATATACAAGTTGCTTATGTTGTATTTGCTTTTTTATAATGATCATTCTTACAAATAAGCCTTTAGTCGCAGATTGTTTTTCTATCTCACTTAATACAAAGGCACAAAAATTCACCTTACATTCACTATCTTTGAAAAAAATTGTCCTTGTTAACCAATCAACTTGCTTATTTTTTATATCTAGCCATGGCATACTAAAGATATTGTCATATCTAAGCTTTGTTATCATGAATTTTTTTTCTTAAGACATAGGTGTCACTCAACTTCAAGGTTTTTTTTTGACATGACTCACTCAATACATTCTCTCGATTATCTGCTAGGTATATATTCTTTCTTTTCATCACTTTGATTTTAATCCCAAATTGCTTGGTAATTTCAACCAAGATAACTTTTTTTTATAGAGCTACAATTCACAAGCACTCAATATGGCTATCTTTTTAGCCAATCCATTAGACACATCAGTCAATTCTTTTGATAATTATCTAAAGCCATATCATTTATTTCTAAGAGATATCAGCTATTTCTAGTATTAGCCCTTATTTCTTTTATTGGTGAGTCTCATTTTTTTACTCCACTTCTTTATTGACTTGATTAGCTTCAAGATTGTGAACCTCTCTTGATTTTTTGGTGCCTAAATTTTGACATTTCAAACAATCTTTGACTTGATAGCTTAGCTCTTGACAATAAAAATTCAATCCCTTCTACGCCAATATTTATTGTCTTTGTAGTATTATTGGTACTTATAAGATATCAATCTCTATCAGCATTGGTTCCTATGTCATAGTATTGGATAGAGCTCTAT